CCTCCCCACCCCTCTTCCTGCCCCGCTCCCTTACCCACCCTTTCCATCAACGTCGCTGCTAATTCACAGCTAATGTTGGATAAATTTATTATTTACCTACTGGCAATTTGGCGCTTGTTTTCCGGTTTTCTATCGGCTAGAAAAGCTTGAAGTATTGCAATGTCTTGAGCCACTCACGTGGTCTTTGCAGTTCAGGATTGAAGGGCCAGGCATTAATTTATTCACATTCCTCTTACTCCCTCACTTTCAAACCCTTACTTTTTACATAAACGCACATCATCTGAAATTGAAATTACAATAGCTGTGTTTTAGGTTTATGGGAGCACCCCAGTAACATCACTAACATGAAATCCTCACAACACTGCTGTACAAGTGGTCTTGGTATTCTTGGTGTCTGGCGCGCTTCATCTCGCATATTAGCAGCCCTATTACAGTATGGAGAGACCCTATGGTGCGCCAGTACGGTATCGTGTGGACTCGGAGAGCGTAACAACGAATCGGTTGGAGAAGTTGCCAGCTGCATCGATGTCGTGACAACGAATACCGATGACATACAGCCGCTCAAGTATTCAAGTAAATATTACAAATATCCTCCAACGAGGCTAAACGGCAAAGGAGGAAATGTTCGGGAATTAATTTGGCTACAATTCTCAAGCGCACTGAATTTTGGTATCGGACAAGCAATTTCAGCATCTATGTCGAGGAAAAAAATTACTTTTTTCTCGCTCAATGAAGGACAAGTCGCCACTGATTCACTGTTTTTCAGAATGCTGTTTGGCGTTTTCGGAAGTCCATCAGCAATCGGATCTGAAGCCACACTTTCCGGCAGCACTGATGCTTTGTCCTGCTGCAACGCAAAAAATGATTTCAGGAAATAAGAAAAGCAAAATTTTCATTGCAATTTTCATAGTATTTATAATAAAATGCATGAAATTTGAAAAAAAAATATTTAGGATATTGTTGCCGCAAAATGCCGTGAAAAGTCAGAGAAAAGGCGCTCAATTTAAATGTTTAATTTCAACTTCAATACAGTTTAATTACAATTTTAATTTCAATGTAGATTTAAAGATCATTGGCTTTTAATATGTATATGCTATTTAAGTGGGGTTTGGACGCATTAATACCTACGTGGGCGTGGAACATCCCCTTAAAATTCCGATCTTCTAGCTTTTCAGGTTCCCGAGTTAGAAACTTACCCGAAAAAAGCTTTGGCGGGCCCGTACGTGGATACCACGCAGGTAAGAGTGTCCATTTTGGAGAAACTGAAAAGGAGTGCGCTGCTTTTGAAAGTGATCAGGAACTTTGAAGTGTATACGAATTTAGGTGGTGAACAAACAGTTTTACAAGCATTTAGCTGCTAAGTGCGGAGCATAAATGGGCTGGTAGTGTAATGGCAAACACGTCACGAAAGATCCGGAGATACGGGAGATGATAAGTTCGATTTGCTCTCGGTCAAAATTCCTTATAAGAAGAGGCTTTGCTCATAACAAAGGGGCTTTGTAACTGTATTAGATATAAGCTATATACGTACTAAAGTCCAACTGTGGTAACAGTACGAAATGTATACGATTTAATGGACCGAAACATTTCTTTCAAAATTTTTCAAAAATTTTTTATAAAAAATTTTTGAAAAATTTAAAAATTATTTTTTTCCATTTTCTCTTTTTCCTTCTTCTTTTCCCCTTTCCTTCTTTCTTTACATTATTTTCTTTTTCATATATGTAGCTTATATCTAATATGGTACGTATATCAGTGACGACAGTGCAATTTTTACATAAAAATACCTTAATTTCAAAATAAAACTAAGCATTTTCCTTAAAAAAAAAAAAAAGCGCTAAAAAAGCGAATGATGAGAAAATGACTGAAAAAACTTAAAAAAAGGCGTAAAAAATAAGAGTACCAAATCGCGCGGGCTATCACACGGGATATCCCGTATAAGTAATATGTCACTGGAACGCTTACATACATATCAGGTGTAGCTATGCCAGGCTCCTCGATCCCAGAAGGAGGGAGAGGGGAGGGCTTCATATTTTCAGTTGGACTTTAAAAAAATAAAAATATTAAAAAAAAGTACTGGTGTTATGTTTTCTGTGGAAGACGATGCCGTATCAGCGGTTACTTGTGGCAAGGCAGAGTGGTCCGTGAGAACTGCAAGATTCTCCTCGTTCGGTTGCTTGTCGATTTTCGTTTCAAATTTTTCTTCTACGATTTCGGAATTATTTTCACACTCTGTTTCCACTACTTGCTTAAAATCTGTAACAGATCCCTTTTTATAAAAAGCTCACTATTCTGTTTTAAGCTCAATATTCTTGCTGCAAACCCGCAGATTTCTACTTTAGATTCTTTTTAGTTTATTTGCAGTCTCTTCCTTGTTGCCTGTTTTAGAATTCGTACGAGTCGTTTCAGATTTCTTCATACGTAACATCATAAATTCGTCCTCGTTATAGGCCTCTTTTATGAGATTTTTAAATCTCTGCATTCTCAATCTCAAATTTCCCTTCCTGAGCCCATTCTCCCGTTACAAGTCCCTTTCAGGCTTCTTTTCATCCTCATTACCGATGCAAATCTGCTATTTTAAGATATTCACCCTTCAAGGTTTCGAATTCAGCTTTCATGCGCTGGTGCGTGAAATTTTTAACTGTCTTCCAATGTTTGAATTTTTTTGCATAGACTAAAGTACAAAGCAGTGAAAATCATTAACAGGCAATCGTTCGATGAGCTGAATTGCACAAAACGCATCATCGCACCAGCTAGTCTGGTATGCATTGCTATTTATCGTCCTTAGGCTCTATTCATCGATTCAAGTTGCTCATTTTTGAGACCTTTATATGTACGTAGCTTCATTTCCAAGAGGCGAAAGATGGCCTCATTCAAAACTTCTTAATAGAACCTGCAAAATATGTTTTAAAAAAATGCGTACCATGCGTGTCTGATGCGGTATTTTGCATAGGTATTTCTACTCCATGCAGTTTTTTAGCTTTCAAACAATCCTCAAGAAGTATAACAACCCTTCTCAGCTTTATTTCTCGAGCAATCTGAAAGAAATCTGATCATTTCTTTTATGATAACAATTGCATGCGCTTCATGCAAACGAACAAAGGGATTGTACTGATGAATCCCACCTTCTACCCTTGAAACGGGGGAATGGAGGTAATAATGAAGTTTAAACAAACCTCCGGCGGAACGCAGACTTTTCTTCTTGCTCTAATTTTACGCCGGGCCGCAATCTTTGCATTTTTTCTTCTTCTTTTGGAAAAATTCTGGATTTTTGAACGATTACTACCGGGAGAACGGAAAGATTTGCGCGTTCCATCATTCTTTTTCTCCAAAATTCGCTTATTCGAGCAACTAAATAAAGATTCATTTATACGAAAAAATTTATTGCTATTTGAATTAACTCTACGATAACAAAAATCGCTTCTTCATATTTTCTGTGTTTCGAATACCACTATTTTGAAGAGCTACCAAAAACACACGTACAATCTGTGTGGGGACCAGATTTCAGTGATTTCATTAGGCAACGAGTGCACGCCTCAGGTACTCGTAAGCCTATACTCTTATATGAACAAAGATGGACCAAGAGGGAATCGAACTACTTATTTTCACAGGTGAATGCGACATGTTTGACCATCTTGGCTTTCTATTCTAAGCAACTTTTTGGAGTACTTGCAATCTGTATCCCCACATGTATTCCATATTGTCTGGATACTGCACCTGTGCAACACACCCTTTCAACAACTGCCACCTTTTCATGGGACTTCCGCCAAGCTACACAGCTTTTTACGAGCCAGGTCCAACAACAACATTCTGAAGGGGTCTAATTATAACCGAGGCTCCGCTGTCGAAGACGACAATGTCCGGAAGTCGGTGAACCACAGAGCTTGTGTGGGTATCCCAAATAAGCTTGGCCTTGGTGTTCTCACGCACTGCGGGTATCTGATTGATGTGGTGTACTGGTGGAAAGCCGTAGTGGAGGCTACGCGAAAATCGACTGGTGCTTAGGTAGTATAAAATCCCATTTGAAGTGAAAACAAACATTCCGACTTCTTCTTTTTCTATTGCTAAATCGTCTCCCCAAATGGTTTAATAAAGTGGAGGTAACAAGAGTTTTACACAGGCGATGAAAAGATATAAAAAGCGGTGAAGGCTGTGGCCTCGGTTTACTGTGGAAGACCGAGAAGCAGCCTCAGCCAGCAGGAAATATCGTTGCTACTTTGGTGGCGCTGAGATAGCCGTTTTGCCCACAGGAATACCTCCCCCGTTGGTGGTAAAGGAGCAACTCGCTTCGTCGTAGACGTCCTCCTTCGTCGAGTTAAAATGTTAAAACTAATTTTTTTGCCGAAAAAAACAATCGGCAACTGAGCCCATCTGGAGTTTCGCCTCGCTTCAGCTGAATTCAGCTTACAAGAAAAATTGTATACATAATTGTCGTTGATGCCGTTGATTGATAGCGGCACTGTTGTCAAAAAAAAAGAATTAATTTTTGAATTACGTATCGCGAAGCAAGAATTTTATGCTAATTCCTATCTGTTTTCTTCTTTTTTCGCTTTTACATTCGAGCCATTTTTCCTCGACACCAGTACAAGAAGTAGGCAAGCACGTGGAAGAAGTTGTGAGCTCGTAAAAAGTTGCGCGAATGCAGCAATTTAAAATCGAGAATGATAGTATTTACTGGCTACATTGAGGAACAAAACGTTATAGTTCTATTATGCAAAGTTTATTTGGATCATACGAGATTTGCAGGTGCACCTAGCACGCTAGTAAAAATTTTTTTCACGGACAGGAAGTTGTATTGTTCAGTACATGGCGGATAGGAGGCTGTACTGATGATTCCCACTCCTATCCGCATGCTTAATTCAGTTGGTGTTGGGCCGTTGTTCCTGGCCCTGGTTACTACCCGCTTCCTTCCCCCACAGGGGCTTTGAGGCCCGTACTGCCTTTTACTTTACAGCTAAGGGATGAAGCACAGGCAGACTGCATCGTAAAATGTCTTCTTACACACGACACCTAAGTCCAATCCTTTTATTCTACTATTTCACGGAATTAGACAAAACAATAAAAATATTCGATTGCGTGTGGAGAAACAAGAGGGGCGGTAAATGCAAAGATTACGACTCAGAGAATCCGGATTAAAGGAAGATGAAGGGCTTGTTCTTCTCTCTTGATTTTTACACAGAAGAGGATTCCATTCGTGATAATCCTAATCTGCTTTTAAAACATCTTGTCACTTTTCGCCCTCATCAAAAATCGGAAGAAGTGCCAAATTCTGCATAATTCGAGCGAAAATCTGGGGCGCAGCGGCAGTTGAAAGATCGACGAATTACAAAGAAAGAAAAAAGGGATACTATAAGATTTTCAGGCACTGAATATCAACGTATTTGAGGAATATTTCTCGAAAGTAACTGATTCAAAAAGTTTTATGATTAGACTGAAAAACACAAAATCAGACCGACAACGTGACAAATCACTGCAAGAGGCCACAAATCTCACAAAACCGCTTTGTCAAGTGACAGATTTCGGGTTGGGGCCAGGTTACTTCGGTTTCCAAATCGGCTCGGACATACGATGAACACCTAGGACAAACACGTTGATCAAGAAAATCACGGAACTATAGATCTATCCGAAGAATTATCCACGTATCCAGGCGGAAGACGCGCAGCGAAATCGATTGATTGGCTCTCCTCGGTGACACACAACAAACTGTCGCTGGAAAAAAGCCGATGTCAAGCAAGTCACGAAGAAAAATTAGGTTGGGTGTATTAGATCGGGTGGATGGGCAAAGATCGTCGAAGCTAATCCTCGGCAAACAAGGCAGAGGGCCAGTGTCACTTAAGTAGTGATGTGAACGTATAAAGACTTTCAAAACTAATAGATGTGAAGAAACCAGCAACGCTAATGATGAGCCAATGATATGTCTATGTGTGTCACTGTAAATCATTTGCCTCCTTGTAGTTCATACAGCAGTTGTAGGTGGAGAACGTCGCTGATAGTGACCAAGAAAATCACGAAACAATGGATCTATCCGAAGAATTATCCATGAGATGACTGATGAAGTCCAATTGTGGTAATGGTAAGAAATATATACGATTCTTAACGGACCGAAATACTTCTTATAATTATAATAATTTTATTAATTTACAAATTTTGCAATTCTCATCCCTTACCTTTCTTTACTGTGATCTATCCCAAGAATCATTCACGAGATGACTGACGAAGTTCAATTGTGGTAATGGTAAGAAATGTATACGATTATCAATGGATCGAAACACTTCTTATAATAATTTTATTAATTTACCAGTTCTGTAATTCTCATCCCTTACACTTTCCTCTCTGTTCATCCCTTTTTAATATACCTTCCTACTAATATACCTTTTTATTTCATCAATGCAGAGTACTTCTGACAGCCAACTTTCAAGCGAATCGCAATAATATCAAGCAGCAGAGGATGTCTGGGATAAAACGCAGTGCTGAGAGAGCCGACTTTTATCTAATAAGTCAAATCAAAAACTAAAAAAACCTTTTTTCGGCCATTTTCTCCTTCTGGTGCTGAGTTAGTCGCATTTTCTTTGCCGGATTTGATGGTTTGATTACGACATATTCCTCACTGCTAGCGCTTCGTTGAGTGGGCGTCCTGGGTCGTAATGTCGACAGCCGTGCACTTGTGGTGGAGCTTTTTCGACTGTCTTCCTAAAAACCGTAAAATTATAGGAAAAGTGGTACAACAATTCCACTCTCACAGTTCTTTTGAACCGAAATAATGCGCATAGATTAATACGTACGAATTTGGAAGAAAGATTTTTGGCTTATCAGTAAAAAATTTGAAAACAACGACGTAATTATCGCATATTAGGGCAAAATTTCTCCAGTTCCTGCTGGTTTTCGTGGGACTTCCGAACAAGGATTTAGAAAATCCAGACAACTGTATGGAGTTACAACCCCGGTGGAAATCAACGGGGAAGAGCCTAACTATGAAATTTTAATTTAGACATGGAACCAACAATCCCACTTCCGGTAAGTTTTTACTTCATTTTTACATTCTTGTACCTTTTACTTTTATTTTTACTAACACATACTTTTACTAGTTTTCATGTAACCAATTTTAATATAATTTAACATAACTAATTAAAATTAAATTTACACCTATTACCCTAATCGTCGCGCTGACGTCTGTGGTAATGGTAAGAAATGTATACGACTTAATGGACTGAAACATTTCTTAACATTATAATATTTTTATTAAAATAATTTTACTACTTCTACTAATTTCTTAATATTACTTGCTTTTTCGTCTTCTTCCAACTATAAAATATTTTTCTATTAGAGCAATAACTGAGAAAACGAATATAAAAGGATTAGCTGGAATGTTGAGAGCACAAACGACTTATTTTACATACTTCGCTTTGGGAATCATCCTCCTCATCCATGGAAATATTAATGTTTGGATCAGAGCAGAGCGACAATTTGGAGCTTTCGGGCACTGAAAATACCTTCTTTTGCTCTGTGCCGAAACCCGACAGTACACATTTGTTGGCTTCCAATGCAGCGCTGGAAAATGCTTCATTCAAAATATATAAAAGTGTAAATTTACAAAACGCTAGGATGGAACGCACTAGGCCGGTCGGTGCGAATATGCGTTTTTGCACTTTTCGTGCTGTAGCAAGATCGCAAGGAATCACAGTAGCTAACCCCCTGTGACATACTGGCTCACGAAGTTCGGGAAGTTAAGTGTGCACGACCCCCCCCCCTCTTTCCCACCAAAATGTTCCCAGTGTATTAGCTTTGTAGAAATATTAAACTCGAATCTTCCCATTCCATTCTATTTATTTAGCTAACCTAATGAAACCCCAAATTTGGCCGAATCAACTTTAATAAAATCACAAATCTGACTCGGCAAGCCTTAATGGAACCTCAAACTTGGCTCAATCAAGCTCATCGAAACTACAAGCTTGACTCAATCAGCCTTAAAATTTTTGTATGGGAGAGGAAGAAGGCAGAAGTCCTGAACAACAGCACTGAATATCACTCAGGGCTATCCAGTTGACTTTTTTTAAAAAACCTCGAAATGAGTCAAATTTGAGATTTCATTGTAAAATATCCTCTGGCACATGACACTTAAGACCAATCCTTCTATTCTACTATTTCGTTGAAGTTAATTGAACCAATTTCTATAAAAAAAAAAATCAAAACGATGAACCTCATATCATCCGAAAGAACAAGATGACTGCTGTGAGCGAAAGTTTGGTGCCAAAATTCGGTAAAATGGTGTCGTAGGCGAACTGAGCGAAGTCCTCCAATCAATAGGGGTTCCAGTTGGTGAAGCAACGATGAGCAATATGGTCCCGAGTACAATTTTTTCAAAACATCGAGAGCCGTTTTAACAAGCATAAAAACCTGAAAATGCCGGAATTTAGTTACACAAAGACGGTGATACCGAAAAAAAAAATGGCCAACGCACGGGCTGCCCGTGCGAAGATGCGTTTTTTGCAGAGTTCCCCGCA